TGACATTTCACTTGAAAGCCTTCGATCTTACAAGGAGGGCACGCAATCACTAGCCTATCTAAATGCCAGTGTGCACCTCGCTTACGCATTGTTACGGATGTTGGAACGGTGGGGGAAAGAGAATACTGGGGCAGTGTACGTCAGGAAAAAGAAGCCGGGTAAGAGGAAGACCACGGGTAAGCTATACATTTTCCACCTTCAGTGTCATTTTAAGTTATCGCAGGTCAGGGACTACTAGTTGATGAAGATGGGGTGCCTGACGTTGAGAACGAACCTGATGGGGATAGTGAGGAGGAGGTCGTCCACGAGACAATGTTCACCTTTGATGCCTTCGAAATGGTGTGTCGCATGATCGAAGCGGAACATTGATTGACAGTTGGTTGAATGATGTGCAGAAATTTGCAAACTCGGCGATAACGAAGACCCTTCTGACATATCTTTCGCGCTACAGGGACTTCGATTCCCCTGAGTTCATGAAGAGGGTGGTGAACTTGATCCACCGACAAGCCGTGAAAGCTAAGGCAGAAGGGCTGTATTTCAACGTAAGTTGCAATTATGTGTTGATTGTTTCTTGGTATACAAGTTCCTATAGGTTTCGACACTCCATCTATTCAAAACGATTCTCGATGATCAGAAGTCATTGCCGAAAGACCAGTCATCCAAGGACCTTGTGAAATTGGTCAATTTCATTTTGCACAGGTTCTTCAAGGCGTTGCAAGGAGAGCCATTCCTCGCGGTGGAGGTGAGGTTTTCATTTTTGTTATCTCACGTACTAACGCTCAATGCTTATCTGTCTCAATCTGAATCAGGCATTCTTCCCCAAGAACCGCGGACACTGGAAACTGTACTCGAGCTGGGAACCGGAACGCAAAGGCCGCCATGAGCGCGAGATAGTAGAAGATACCAAATTCCCTCCCGAGGTGCAAGTGAAGAAGGGTTACTCGTGGAGCGAGCAAATCGGAATTGCGATAGCGGCCCTAGTAGACGATGGAAAGACCGAACTTATAGAATGGGTCAAAGACGTTCGTAATCATATCAATCATCTTCACCGAATGACTCTGATCGTTCCTCAATTGTAAAGATATTGGTGCTAGTCATTCGTCAACGCAATAAGATTATCGAGGAGACGGATAGAAAGCCCAAAGACGGAGACCCCGACCTGGACGACGATGAACAGAAGAAGTTAACTCCTTCTGCAGAAGCAATCTCCAAATTTCTCGATTACTGTAGGTGATTCTGGACAACTTTTACTCTGCGCTAACGCCTTTTCAGTAATACCATATATCAGCGATGAACATGCGGAAGCCGCAACGAAGAACTCGATATTGAAGCTCATGTTTCGACTGTTAAAGTTCACCATTTATGACGACGGTTCGTTCTTTCGCGAACTTTTGAGCAGCGGCCAGCTAATCAGTTTATAGATGGTGACGAGTTGCAGTGGGCTGTTCCAGCAGTGATTCCTCCTTCTGACCTCCTGAGCAGCCTCAATGTCATTGATCAATTCCTCCAACATCCCATTGACCTTGACGGCAAGAAGGCTTCAGAGCTCATGAGCAAGAAGTCCCGTCGGCGACGGAGACAACGATCACCCTCTAACTCTGACGTCGAGCTTATTGACGATAACGAGCCCAAGCGCAAGAGACGGGAGAAGAAAAAGAAGGAAGAAACGCAATACAAGTCAGCACAGTTCATTGAGGACAGTGATGCAGAGTACGGGGATATGGAGGCCTTCCTCGAAAGGGAAAAGGCATTAAGAGATAAAGCTGTCATGGCAGCCGCACAAAGTGGCAAGATCGGAACCATGCGAGCGACGGGAACTAAAAAACGGCGGAGAAAAGGTAAAGATGTTGAGGCTAGGAAGCAGGGTAATGTGGGGAACCCCGAGAATCAACCGGCAGGAGAGTCCAGTGCCGATGAAAATGTCTCAGACGGTGAAGATGACATCCTCGGGGCCATGCGGAGAAGTCGCTCCAGTACACCAGAAACTCCCGCACCTAGGGCGCGCCCAAGACCGCGGCCGGTTCCAAAACGTTCTACAAAGCGATCAATGTCAACGGACACCGTGAGCGAGGACGATGCAGGGATGGACTTGACGGGCATTCGACGTACCGGGATGGGGCGGTTGGTCCTTTCCGAGGATGATGAACTGTAACAGTCCACCCGTCATGACCCCATGCCGTCATCCCATTTATATGTAGTACTGATTTATCTTCATGTTTTGAAGTGTTGCACAAATGCCTATTAAATGCATTCCAGGGGCTGGTAAAACGGTAATTTATTCACCAGTGTTTCTCTTTTTGTTTCCAGCGTTAGACCCGCGGAGTAACTGGTATGGTACACATAGGGGCCACAGAGTCAGTGCGAGCGACCGTGTCGATATCAGCCAGCGTTGCAAATCTGAGGACGATAAACGTGCAATGTTGAATGCACGTGGACAAAAGAGCAATCATATCTGAAACCGAACGGACCCGACTTACCACCTTTGCTAGATACAGCGTCGCGGAGTCCACGCGTCTAGGCACTCGGGGTTGCGATCAAATCGCTTCCAACGTGTCAACGTTTTTGCCATTGTCAAAGCCGACGACCGACCGCAGCTCGTTAGTATCAGTCCATTCGCGATGCATTCATTTTCACTTTGCTGCAAGACTGCGTACTAGTGATAAGCAAATATATTGTCGGATGCCACCTGCTAAATGCGGTGCGTGGAGGCGAGGTAAACTATTGGTTCCATTCCGAAGTACTCTTGCTATTGCAAAAGGAGTAGGTGGCAACCTATAACAATTGTCCCCATTATGATTGTAGGCCGCATTATTAAAGTTTACAACCTTCCCGAAGAGCTCATACTTACATACGAGGCGCCGGCGCATATGATGACCGTTCATCTCAAACATGTCTTCGGGATTCGACTCGGAGCTACACATTCTCTAGCCTAGGAGAAACATTGTCCCGAAGTCAATATTGTCTGCTTCTCTGGCCTCAACTGAGAAGTTTAGCCGGATACCTCTTCCCATGCAAATCTCTTGGAAGTAAAAGCCTCATCATCTCGCTTAGATATGCCTTGAGCTTTCCATGAGGCTGGAGGAGAGAGTCCCGAGATAGCTTAATTGCCGGTGATCGCGACATCCGAGACCACAGGAAAGTGAAGATTAATACCACCACGATCAGACTCGTGGGCCGTGGCCGCGACGAGTGGTAGCCCAATTTTCCGACGGTACAGGAGAGGAACATGATGATGATGATGTCCTAGAAGTATACCATGCCAGTTATCGCAATATGCAATGATGCCTCGATCAATGAGTGTGGGCTTGGGATGAAGGAGCCATAAATAAATCGACGAGTGTCGAAAGAGGAAGGAGGATGGTCGGCCACTGGCCACCGAGCCGCGACCCCATATCGTGTGCGGTGGAATGTTCCACGCCTTGCGCCTATCAAAATTGGAACCGCATTAGATATTATGTATGGGGGGTCGATGGGCGACCTGCTCGCCCTTCGGCTCTTACATGCCTATATTGGAGGTTCCGAACCGCAGGGAAACAAAGCGCTCGAGCTAGGCTGGTGCCAGTCGCAAAATGGGTCCGTGTGTACCCTTGTTAGGCTTCGCTGCGGTGATTATTTTAGGTTGAACCTGAATGGCCAGCGGCTAAGGATGAGAGGGACCCTCGAACGCGATTGCGAGGCGTTGAATGGGAGTGGCATGACGTACAAAGGCAGGACATTAATGCGGCAGACATACCCAGGTTGGTTAATAAATGAAGATCACCCAGTCACAGGCTTGGATCGGAAAGAAGTTTGGCGTGAAGAGACTTGCACAGCCTTCGCGTGGGAGGACGGGGTTTGCCGATTGAATTGGTGGGGTTCAGTTTGAAACTACCAACTTGGTTAGTAGTTGCGATTTGGAGAAAGGGTATAAAGAGCCCGTCAATCACGGAGTCAGCTAGTACTGGCAGACAGTCGCGTTTTTTTTTTGTGTGAAACGACCCCCCAAGGGTTATTAGTACTAGTAGGACATTGGCGGAACCGGATCTCACCGAAAGGTATCGGTTATGTTCCCAAGATACGGATATATTTTTCGATTAATTGAGCACCGATATATAACCGAGGTGGCAGGTGATTGGCACCTCGCCATTTCTGCGCGGATTCCCATCGAGCGGAAGTTGATAGCCGCTGGTCGATAAGCGTACATGTAGTATAGTAGGGAGTGTTGGGGGATATACATGGGGAGAGAGGGCTTCGATCTTATGATAGACGGAGTCCCTGAATGGTGACATGTTCGAAGCAAGCCGTGGATATCCGAGGGTACTAGTGAGATGTATGGTTGTAGTAGTAGTTGTTGTTGTAGTAGTAGCAATGGTATAATCAGAGAAGAGACCCATGTACGCTATAATTCGGGGAGTGCATCTCAGCGAACACTTCGCAATAACGAAAGGTCTGGAGAAGTGGCGGAGTATCGCGGAGTTCTGAGTTTTAAAATTGAGTAGATTGCACGCGGAAGTAGATTATAATATATTTTTGTTGATCGGGGATCAACACACGAACGCATCCCTAAGGCACAGCGGCATTAGCCTGATGGAACAACCGCAACTTGCCGACGGGGGAACTCTCTTGTGAAAAATTATTATCTTCAAACAACATAGGAAGGTAAGTTGCGGTACTTGGGCTGAACCCCCGGGGGGCAAGGTAAAATAATTGTTCAAAGGATTTCCGTGAACACACAGACATTGTAATGTAATGCAATGGAGTCGGAGAAGGTTCGTTAAGATTTGATTCAAGATTGCAAGGAATCAAGCTTGCCACCAGGGTCGCATTGAAGACATGTCGGCTGACTTTTCAAAGCGAATAATTCGGAATCCGAGGCACTGAATTCTTTTGGAATAGTTACGATGGCTTGGGCGTCTGAGTGGAGTCCTTTCAACGTACGCCAACTATAATAACCGTCCAATCCTTTTTTTTTTACAACCCCGAACTATCTTTCCTCTCCCAAAGTTACGTTATAACGTTACATGTCCTCGATGGCTCACTCCGCTGCTGAATCTGTCTCGTCACAACCCGATCGTCCAGAGCGCAGCCGTAATGCTAAAGCTCAAGCTCGCCATCGTGCAAAGCGAAAGGCCTACATCGAGCAGGTTAGCTCCATACGACGCGAACTTGACGCGTTTTCTAACTTTGCCCTTTTTTCAAGCTCGAGCAAACCGTCACTAAACTACAAACCGCTTTGGGCTTTACCCCAGACCAAGTGGCAGCTTTACCGCCCCCCTTGGTCAAGATTCGCGAGCTCGAGCAAGAAAATACCCGCTTACAGAAAGAAAATGAAGAAATGAGACGTTTGTTGGAATCTGACCATCGAGCTGGTCATTTATCCTCAGACTATCGTCGGCACTCCATGTCCAACTTCCACGACACTCGCAACTGTGACCGCGACTTCAAGAAACGCAAAATGGATGATCTCTACATGGTCGGTTCTTTTCCTTCCTCAACACTATTAGTAGTCTGACAACGCCTTTTACCTAGCCGCAAGACGCCCCTCATGGTGATCGTCCACCTCCACTTACCATTCCGCAGCCAATTTCCCATCACCAGTATGGCAATATACCCTCCCACAATGGCACATCTGGTCATGGCGGTGTTTCAGGCAACTCCTCCTCGCTCTTTAATTTGCACGCTCCCGCTTTTCATCATCTTCCTCATACTCCGTCCGGATCAAGTTCAACTTCAAGTCCTCCATTTTCGGCGAGTGCTTTTTCCTTGCGCGAGTGACGTAATGTCCTCCACCTCTATGAGAACTCTCTGGATCCTAGTGACCATTGTTTTCTGTTTCACCCACCAGCAGCCCACCCAAATGCAACACTCATCGCATTCCCCGGTCAACAGTCGTCCAAGTTCATTGTCGCATCACCCACTTCCAAGCAACTACCATTCCAATCATTACGGATCCGTCAAAGTTGAAGACGATCATTACAGCGTAAGTTGTACGCAATCAATATCCCAACCGCTTACAGACTGGTTTTTGCAGTCATCAAACCATCATAACCATAATGGGCCCTCAAACCATTACCACACTACTCTCCCTCCATTTGCCCAAACTGTGCCAGAAGCTGAAGTGGATAACTGGCATGCTTATTCGGCCGAACGTGCCCAGGTTCATCGGTAGAACCGAAATACGTCGAATTGTTGTTCTCTTCTTTTGGACTGATCGGTTTAGATGATACCCCCGCTCTATTGCTATCACTGTCTCGCTGCATCTCGACTAGCTCTCTTTGCCGCATCGCTATTTCTAGAGCCTACGAACAACCTACTACTTCTAATTTTGCGCTTCGCTATTGTAAAAAGTTATCACGCATTCTAGTGGATATATGTGCATGAATTGTATAATCTTGATACTTATTGTAATATAAGTAGGTGTGTTATGAGTATTATTGTTGCGACTTGTATCTACGGAACCTATCAATTTTACATCGCTTCGATCAACTGAGCGTTGATGCGGTTTTGGTAACCCCGTTCAATTTGGTCTTCGCGGCTGTTTCAAATGATCTGCCAGATTCTTCGATGCACTGTTACGTATATCCTTTCGTACACCTCAAAGCTCAGCGAACCTGAACTCTCCTCGTTCCTGCCTGCGACATTGGCAAAGAGCTAACATCCTCGGCCATATCCACATCATCTCTTCGCGTTGCCGACGTCGATAACTTTTTTAAAATTATCTATATTCTCTCAAGCGCCAATTGCCACACTAGAACAATCAAGGCAGTGAACATTCTGATGGAAACGGGTACTCGCTCGGGCATAATTCCAGACCCTTTTTGCCTCTAAAAATCACTGCCCTCTTCATCTTTGGACTCTGTGAACAGCTTGATTCGAGCTTCGGACTTCCTTTGGACGTGCATCGGATTCGCTGGATTCATGATTCATGAAGAGAAGATTCAGAGGTTCTGGGCTCGGACTAACGCCGAGTCGAGCCCTCCTCCCGGGTAAAGCGACATAACCTTCGCCGGGCGTGCGTCGCCACCACCTGCAACTAGCAGTTTTTTATCGGACCTTTTGAGCTCATGAAACGATTGGCTTATACAAGCTCCGTGTACTGGACGACTTCGGGGTCGACGGTGACCATGGCATGCACCACCCTATTTCTGAAGATTCCTATGCCCACATACACAGTGTTTATGAAGCTCGTTTGACCGTTGATACTGCGGTTGGCTATTGTCGTCTTTGATGATCGGTTGATGATGATCCGAAGAAAATATCACCGAGTCAACAGTCGTGTCAAAGGCCGTTCAGATCTGTCAGAATGTGTCTAGAAATGAAACGGAATGGTGCCTCTCTTTATCTCCCTTTGACAAAAAAAAGATCGCTGCATGCAGGTTCATGCCGCTTTTGAAGGCTGGCAAAACATCGAGCCTGCCCATGCGACAATGAGCCACAGTGGTCGTTTTGTGGACATTCTGTTGCTTTAAAAAGCTGGCTGGGCGATGCAAGGAACGGGTATCTATCTCACAGAATGGCCGTCCCTAGCGCCACTACCGATGAACGTATGCACTATCCGCAAAAACCCCGACGGACCGAATACCAGGGTACTTACCCTATCTCAAGGGATGGCCAGATTAAGTTGGATTTATGGATGAGCACTCGGTATGAGGCCCTACCTGAGCCCTCTTCCAACGAGGCCAAGAAAATGAGGGTAGTCCCCTCGTTTCCTTACAGGGATGTTCCGATCTATGGGGATACGGCTGACATTATGGGTATGTTCCCCTGGCTGTGTCACTGGATGTGATTAACTGAAGTTGTGAGCAGCATTGTATTTTCGTGGCGTTTGGGGTTGCTTGCTCACCCCGAAGAATGTCAGTGACCTGGCAGATACGACTGGCATTCGTTATCATGTCTGGGTCGCTATCAAGAAAGTACTGGAAAGATATCCGTTAGTCTTTGGTTCCTTATGTTTATGGAGCGTCAGCGATCATATAACAGAAAATGCTCGAAAACGTTCTATAGGAGGCTTGTCCTTCGGCAATTCGTGTGTTAGACTGCTACCCTACGTGAAGGCTCACTGATGGTCTTACAGCTTTTTGAACTTGGCTTGGCCATGTTAGGTGTAGTCAAAGGCCCGGTGGTGATATTCATCGATTCGTGCCTTCACGACAGCAAGGCTGCCATGGTGTACGAAGCCCGTGCCCTCGTTGAACTTTTTGACCGAGCTGATGTCCGACGATGGAGAGTTATCATCACGGTAATGCGCTTCTAGTAGTGCATACAACCTTCCTTTGACTATCCTCAGCTTCCAGCGACAGATGACGGTATCCGTGCTGCGCGCGAACTGACCAACAGATACTCAATAAGTATACATCTCTCAATGGTGACTTCCCTTGCACATGCTCGCGCCTGCATCGAAGCCGGAGCAACTATGCTGAGTATGAATATCGCTCCAGTGAGTACTTCATCATTGCATGCAATTAAACCACCGTTCAAAGCTACTTCTGCTATTAGATCATGTCATGGTTCGAGAAGAAAGACGAAGTGGAAGTCGAACACCCAATTGCTCCCGACCATCCTGGCATTAAGACGATACAGTCATGCATCAATTACATCCACCAAAACTCTCTGAACACTTCTTTGCTATTAACTGACATTCGGGATGTAAGACATCTAATTCGCAATTCGCTCCCGCCGGTTCGGAAATTGCTGACTTCCAGCCGATATCCTTCAGTGGGATAAATTGAAGCAATTGGGTGGCATTGGCGCCGTCGCGCTGAGTCAAAAACAGCTCGATCAGACTTCCATGCTTGGGCTTACGACCTGGTTTCCAGAAATATTGGAAGAGTACGACTTTCCGCCTGTATGTCAATGTTCCAAGTATCCTTTCGACTTCCGGAACCACGAGAGAGGTCTCGGAATGACTTTGTCCGCAGGGGACCGTAGTATCATGTCGTCTGTGGTTTACATTCACCTTGGACGAAACAAAGTTTTTATGCAGAAGATTGAAGATGTCATCAGAAAAGAAGTCGACGAGCGTCTCTACGTGGACGCCTTCGATCCGCTCTCTACTACTCTATATGGCCAGGAGTCGATTGGGTGGCGAAAACACGAACAAGACTAACATGGGCCGCGACAGCTTCTCCTGGATCAATGAAAAAAAAACCCAGGTTCCGAGACGTCCCATGACCCTGAGAGCTACGATAAATCAGGTCTCAAAGAGAATAGTTTTAGTTATACTCTCATTCAGGCATGTCGCCTGCTAGGAACTTTATGATAAATTCAACGTGTCTGTTCTTTACTCCTGTTTTATGCCATGTATACACTTAGCTGTTTTCACGTTCCCGTGCTCCAACATCAAAGGCCAAGGAAGGCATATCAAGGGCAATCAGAGTGACCCCTTCACAAAGTTCACCGATTGGCAGCGGTATCCGGCGCCACCAGCCCAAGAGCGGCCAGGGTAACACCGTTTGGGCGCCCAAATACCCGAATTAGTAGTAAATATTGATGCGGGTGGACCATCACGACGCAGGATTGGAAGAAAGAAGCTACGGATACATTCCATTATTTCCCTTGTCCCGTGTCCCAGGCCGGAAATCAGCAGAGCACCGGGATTGAGCCAATGATTTTTTCCCGCGCGCGAACCGCCCTTCGCGACATAGATTGAAAGGGGCCCCTGCACGACATGAAACGCCGCGCGAACCTTAACGTTCAAAAGTAGGTTATCTTATCTCGCACACAATTAAAACCAGAGCAAATACGTGGCTCGTGATAACCAAATGTGAATTAATTTGGGGCCTTGAGGTGTAAATAACTTGAGGCGAAAACTTTGTTACATGGATGCCTTTTTCGAAAGCTGGGAAGACTTACTGTTTCAGTGGTAGACTATTCAAAGCGCATCCCAAATTCTTTGTATTCCAGAACGTGGACCTTGGAGCTTTTCCCGAGCAAGAAATCGTGCTTCTTCTTCATCAATTTCACGTTTTCCGGTAATAAGATCGGCTTCGCTTGCGGGGATTGTCAAAGTGCGGTAGTAAATCTTGTATCCGCCCCATAGCGAGAAAAAAATAGGGATAGGGATGTAAGATCTGGATTGTAATTAGTATTCCGGAAGATTACGATCACCTTCGCCACTGACGTGATAAATGATGACGATACAAAGGGAAGAAAAGCGCTGAAACCTGTTTGATGTGATTAGCGCAGATTGCAGACATGATCAGATAAATGCTACCATTGAAAAAAAGCACGATGCCTGTGAAAATCAAGGCAAACCACGAAGCATATGGTTGGAAGGGTGCCTTGTAAGGAAGAGTGTTTCGATCTATTCCTTGAGCTTTCAACGCACGCATGAAGGCGCTGGAAGCAATTCCATCAGAAAATGACAACTTGCTCAGTATAAACAACATACATGTGGGTATAAGATATACACATCCACGTAATAGCGCCAAAGCTCGCAATAAGGCTTGCGAACCAGCCGAACGCTACCGAATAATAAGCATTTTACATGCGATGAACAGACGTCGTTCATTACCGACAGAACTCGACGAAGTCGCATTAAGGAATGTCAAGAAGCAGACTAAAGTGTTCAGAATGAGCGAGGGCCAAGGAACCCCAGCGCGGTTAACCTTCGCAAATATACGAGGTGCCTTGCGTTCCACAGCGAGGCCATAGAGCGTTCTGGAGCCGATATAGAGGTCTGAGTTTGATGCACTAAGTACAAAGATTAACACCACGGCATTGATGATATGGTTCAAGACTTTTATGCCAGCAATGGTTGTCACTAATCAATGAGACGTTAGGTCCCAGAGTTGCATAGTCCATGGGTAGGGACAAGGCACGTACCTACGACAAATGGCGATGCAGCAGCACCAGCTGGAGATGTACTAGCCACAAACAGTGCCTACAATAAAGTCAGGAACAGCCCCTTATGTGCACAACACCACGTACACTGCTATTACTCGGTATCGTCAAGCCAATGACGAACGTACCCCCTACATAGAACACCAAAATACGAAAGAACACCCTACGAATAGCTCTTGGCACATTTCTCCTTGGATTTTCAGTTTCGCCTACGGTCACGCCAATCAGCTCTGTGCCGATGTACGAAAACAAAGCTGTAGTAAGGTTGCTCCAGAAGCCAAGAAACTGAGCAACACGAGAGTCGTGTACTTCAGCAAGAAGATATTCACGAAGGGGTCCGTAGGGTGCTCTCCAGTATCTGAAGCCAATACGATCGTGTTGGGGATTGCCACCGAGGTCGATAATGAGTCCCATCAAGATAAGACCAACTAAAGCGACGACTTTGATGCTGCAGAACCAGAATTCGACTTCGCCAAAGATGCGAATGCCCATTAAGTTGATGAGGAAGACTAATATAAGACGTGTTAGCTAGGCTAGTCGGACAGATGTCATACGCACTCAGCGCAATGTAGATCACTGGAACAAGGATCAGTACATGATTGGACTGTAAAAAGATGCACGCACCCATCCAAACTTCAATAGGTACACTTAAGGTCCAATACTGCACCACAGCACCCGCCGCATTAACATTGTTCGTAGTTTGAATGAAGTACTTGAACACATAATTCCATCCAAGAGCGAAGCCGAAGGCAGGATCAACATATCGAGTCGCATATCCTGCAAAACCTTTCTTATGAGGGAGATATGCACCCATTTCGCCTAGAGAGATCATGACGAAGTAACAGACTAAGCCCATGAAGGAGTACCCAAACCAGAGACCTAGTGGACCTCCTCTGACGAGAGCAGTACCTGAACCGATGATGAGACCTGTGCCCAGCGAGCCTCCCAGCTAGGTAGAGTGAAAGAATTTTAGTTTGGCTCGCAAGATGCATTATGAGAATTCGCCATACCGTTATCATAGATATCTGTCTCGCTTTCAAACCACGATGCAAGCTCAACTCCTCGGCAGGGTCCACTAAAACGGGGTCGAAATCCTTATTAGCCTCAAAGCTATCGATCTTCTTCTCGGTATCATGACTGTGCGCGTCCATGCTGTGGTTGAGGGAAACGGATTCGAATAAAGATAAGCCTGAGGTCGCGCACTTTTAACCAACGCTCGAGCAGCATGTAGTCGCTATCAGTGGACCCGCATGCAATTAAATGCGCCAAGGTATTCACAGAGAATGACTATAAAAAGCGTTGCATGAATAATATTACGCTCACCGCTGGCGGATTAAAATTTTCTACATACCGTGGTCTGACCCGTGCAAAGAGAGACCAGGGGTTATGACTGCTCTTCTTTGAACGTCTAAGAAGCTCCCAGTCTCGATATTTCCTCGAAGTCAGTCGTCATGTCATACCTCACATCATCGTCTGAAACAAGAGAGCGGCTCGTAGTGATATGTCATTTTGCAAAACCATGATGGGGACTGGTGGTTCTAAAAAAGGCAACCATAGTAATGATAATTAGGCGCCACCGCCCACACGGCCCACACCAAACTGTCAGCGGCGGAAGCCCGACTCCAGCTGTGCACCTATACTCAGTATTCATGTCCCACTACACTACCTGAATGATCTGGATGTTCGACGGCGACGATGCATCATGGCATAGTGGACGATCAGTGCTCGATATTACTCATACTCCTCGTGTCAAGGGAACTTCAACTCCGAGTTGGGGATCCGAGCATCGAGTTTCTGTGTCTTCTCTCACCTCTTGCTGTGAAAAGTTTAATGAATTAGCTGCCCTTATCGCTCCCGCTGTTGTTGTGTCGAGTGTCCCTGGTCTTGCTGCTCTCAGCTCCAAGCCCTCGTATCTCTCTCAAACAGACACCGAGCACACCCAGCGAAACGAATGCGTTCTAGGCTAGTCATTCACAGGTCACTTATAAACGTGACGACAGCTCCACCATCCACGGAAATACCACATTTTTCCCATTGTCAGTTATTCTGCCAGTGCAGCGTGTTGAGTGCGATCAACACCAATGCCTTGACAGCGAGAGATTCCTGGGCCGGGTCCTAGACTCTGTCACTACCAAATGTGACGACGGCGCCAATATCTATCGATAGTCAGTTATTCTACCAGTGCAGCATGTTGAGTACGATCAATACTAACGTCTTGATAGTGAGAGATCCTCGGGTCGGGTCCTAGATTCTGTCACTACCAAACGCGATGACGATTCCATCATCCCGAAGTTGTACCCATCCTCAGCTATCCTGCTCGTGTAGCGTGTTATGTGCAATTAATACCAACGTCTTGACATCAAGAGATCCCAGACCTTGCCCGCTGGAGATACACAGGATACTGCCGGCAACAACAACCAGGGCATGGTTAATGACACCAGACATTCAGGGATCGACACGGCATGGGCCTTGGAGTTGGAGGGCACTAGCAACAACAGCACCAAGTGTCAAGTCTCCAGTGAAGTCCATCGTTATTCCGAAGGAGGACGGAGCCATAGAGGGCACTACTAAGCGTCTAGTAGAATCCAACGGAAACCTCGTCTCATATTTCTGGTATATGTTGTTTGTATATATACTCGGTAACTGTCACTATACGACTAAACGACTGCTTGTTCGGTATACAAAGTCTACTTATTGTATATCTCGCAACACGCCTTAGGGCACTTGGCCAAGGCAAGCTTGCTCTTGTTTTACGCCTATGACGCCCTGAGCGAGGGTGATCGTCGATGAAGCTTGGGTGTAGTACGTTCTCTGTTCAATTAAAAGCCGTAGCTAAACACCGGACAATCTAGACATGTCTATTACCTCTCGTGGGCCGTGGCCTTTGCCGTCGTGCATAAGCGCGTTGGTGTGGATGATACGCGTCGCCATCTCGCTAGCATGAGCCCCTGGCATAAGTGAGGTAGAGTCCTCAAAGCCTTGTGAAGAATTCCAAGACCCGACTTGAAGGAAGGGGAGAAGAGAACGAAGAAGAGTTAAAGTATTTCACCAAATCCCAAAAGTATATTGCAAACTTCGGACAGGGCAGCGCAGAATCCATATAGATCCAGACGTCATGCATTCCGAACCTGCAAGCATCATCTTGCCAAAGTCTTCTAACACTTTTCACCAGCAGGAAATCGGTATCTTCAAGTAATTTACATTCCCTCGATCAAGTCAAAACATAACTCGAGCGAGAATCAAGTCGCATGTCTCAACAGGGCGCAATCCCTGAACATATTCTCGTAGAAAGCTTCAACAACGTGTTTTGCGACGTCACCGTCGACCACCCACAGCGTGCCAATAACGCTTTTGAGTCCCGAAAACTGGAGTCCACCTACGAGGTGAACAGCTTCGTCGGTGTCTCTTCATCACCAATGGCAGTATGACATGCCGATAAGAACGAAAATTCAGCATGAGGAATGTCGTTCCCCATAATGTCAAACAGCGAGGTTCGTCTCTCATGGTGAAGTCCTGCTTTCTATGACAAGCGAGGTATACTCAGGTGTTGCGTCACAAAGCGTCGAGTGCGCAACTGCTCACGCGGCATCATCACCGGAGAGAGTGATGGGGTTGGCCGTTGCGGGGACGAGCCCAAGTTCGCGCTCTCGATATCCAAGAGCTCCTCGCCTTGCCCGCGCCCGGTGAACTTTGCCCATGCAGAAATGTTGTGTGAGAACAGATGTAGACGTCCCCCAGGCATTATTCCGCCCCACGTCCGTCTGCCTTCGTTCGAAGGGGTGAGCTGCGTGGAGAGGAATGGAAGTGAAGGCTGCAGTTGGGCACAGCCAGATTCGAGAGCGGCTTGTTACTCTGAGGTCACACTGGAGGGCGATGACGATGGGCAGCATAATCTCGTCCCATACTGTCCGTAAGAGGACTTGCAATTCCTTCCTCATTTCATCTGGACGTATAGAAGATGTAAGTCGAATCTTTCTGACAAGTCATTCTTGAGCCTCTTCAGATGTGTGAGAATGATGCGCAGGAAGCGAACGTGACGAGGCTCTCCTGAAGTCAGGACAATGATGGCACTGCACGAATATTGACTCGCAATGCGGACGATGGCTGGGCCATGACGTGCTGCCGCTTGCAACTCTGTATACGACGGCAGAAGCAGGAACCGCGAGAAACCTGGAAGATTTGGTATATCAGTTACCACCCGCCCCGCATTACTTCTGAAGTCTCCTGTACTGAATGAATTGCTGCTTGATCAGTAGCAGCTCTGTCAGCGCTGCCGGTGGAACCCTGAACATCAGAATGGCTCTCGCTAGGCTCTGAGATCTTGCGAGCTAGATTTGAGCTCGTGGACTGGAGTCTGGAGCGCGTCATGTGAAAAGCTCCAAGCATATTTGGTATGCTCCCAGGGCTGATAATTCTCAGTTGTGTCAACCCAACACAGAGCTGTTTGAAATCGATACCGAAAGCCTTGAATAGGGTGTGACGCCAATCTGAAGTTCTCGACAGCGAGTGACAAATAGCAGACCTGCGTTGCACTCTGTAGCGAGACAGACTCTGCTTCCCGCAACCAGGAGTAGCTGAAAAAATTACTTGTGCAGTGAAGGCAAAGCCTCCAGTGACTCTTGGCAAAGTCGAGCGGCCTTCTGGACATCTCCATTCCTCTGAGTTTACGTGAAACGAGAACAAAGCGCCGAGCTTAAACTGCAAAGAGTTAAGCGGCAATTGGGGTGGTTATGGTACTCTAACTGAAGTGATTCCCGGCAGTGCACAGATAGATGACTCTGTTGAGATCCTCGCTGGTATCCAATTTGTCCAATTTGTCGTATCTGTGTTGAAGCGTGACAGCAAGGGGGTTGAGCGTGTAATTACGACATCGATTCCCAGGTGGACAGTGTCAGTGCCTACCAATAGAGGCTGATGGCTCTCATGAGGTCGTACATATCACCGCGTTGGTTGAAACGGTCAAGGAGGATGAGTCCTGGGTTGTTCAACAAGGAATCACGAGATCTGTGCCCAGTACGGCACAGGCGTAGGGTTTCTTCATACAAAGAAATGGCTTCATTGAGGTCATGAGAGTTGCCTTGGTGATCCGAGTCTCTCAGAGCACAGAAAAACGGCTGCATGACGACATTGTATGCATTCGTCTACTAGGTCACCAATGCTACTGTGTTGTTCAAAGCGTCTTTTTACTACATCTGCAAGCTCGCAGAGGACTCTGGGACAGCGTTGGTTGCCCAGAGGACAGAGCTCGAGCACGACGCATTGAAGATGGATGCCTTCATCGGATACGTTGTTAGAAAACTGTTGCATTCGCAGATCACATAATCAACGCCATTTGCCTCTGCCACGATGCTGGGGAGGAAGTTGCTCTCTAGCTTGCGGGACAGTTGGACAGATTCCATTGAGGATAGATAGATAATGGATGATCAGAGTGGCCCTGCAGATGCAATGCAAGGGCTTCGTGAGAAATGATAGAGTCTGTCTTGATTATCGTTTGGAATGTAGCCTTCAAAGCCGGCCTACGCGAGCTTGGTGAGAGCTGCTGCCTGGTCAGGATGGCCGACCCAGGACCAACTGAAAATGCTGTACGACAAAGAGACCATCTTGCTTGTCACGTATGTGGCGAATCGTTCATGGCCCGCATCTGTATTCCCAGTGATCTGACAGTCACCGATGAACTAAACAGCAGGTGTTCCATCAACAAAATCCGACACCGCAGAGGCTGGTATTACTCAAATCAAGCATGGTGTTGTCCTGGTTCTCGTAAAAATATAGAACAGCGGCTTTAGCATGTGCGCTAAGAGGGAACTTTATTTTTCCGCTGATAAGTGTAGATAGAGCGCGATGATCACCAAACGGATGCTAAGGTGATATGGAGTGACTCGCCTTCAGGTCTGATTATTGGCCTTCTAAGCTACTAGGCATGACAATGCGAGGAGGCAAAACGCCGAGGATCGATAATGGGCAGTGGTTGGCAGAATGAGTCGTATGAGAAGACAGAGATAGGAACTGTGAATTAAGATCAAGCGAGAGAATGGGTGCTGCACGTGTATTCAAAGCGATTTATCAAATTCAGCGGACTTTGAAACCCCGTATGAATATCATAGACTACGCTCACAATATGGCACCCTCGACTACTACGAACTAAACAAGTTAGGAATCAAGGCAAAGCACTCGAACTATGTGGCAAAAGGTACGAGTAACTATCGAGCGGCGAATTTGTAACTTTGCAGGAAGGAATAGCGTTGATTGCACAAACACATCGTTTGTAGTATTCTCCCGGGCTATCTGGAACGGTGACCTTTCTATCCATAACCAGGCCTTCGCCACGAAAGACTCAAGAGTCTGGCCTATACAATTCCGCCGCTTGGGTTGTGCTTATAAGCTCAATAATTATATATTTGAATTCTGCATTGTTTATCCGTTGATTTTGGAACTCTGCTAGGTTTTTTCACATCATCCGCCCTGAAGGGTGAAGTTCTGTCATCCAGGCGCAACCAATCTGCCAAACCAATAGAAATTTCAAGTCACTTTTACCCAAAACTCTATTCTCAGGATATAAAAGCAGGCCATGTCCACGTTCACTGTTCAGAGTTCCATTTGCAAAGCGCTTGTATCACTTCATATAAATCATGCATTTCTCCTTCCTCGTCGTCGTTACCAGTGCTTTGGCAGCATGTATGTCTGTCACTGCATGTAGTCAACAATCCGAGTCCTGCGCCACTAGCAATGACTGCTGCGCTTACTTGTGCTGTATTGAGACGAGAGTGAGTATGAGTAGTTGGCTTTGCATCCAGGATTCAACCTCATTGATTACCCCTTGCACCCTACAATGTCAATAGCTTACCCGTGAACGAGGGTGCAATGATTGCTAGACTGCTCACCAATGGGCTGGCAGCCTGTCCATGATCACATCTGGATAACGAGGCGGATTTCTGCTTTCGCATTGGTGTTGTGGCTGATAGCACAGTCCGTAGTTCGTTGCTGACTTGATCAATGTGGTTGTTGTTCCTAGAGTATGGACAGTTTTCCTGTTCCAATGGACAATGAGGGTGCTTTTGAGAACACTCAATATTGACTAACTTGAAGAGACGTGAGGAGTGATTTCAATGTCCAAATTTGTGTTGCGTCGTTCAGACCTTGAGTACTGAGGCCTGAGGAGTGTTCACTAATGCATTACCAAAGTCTGCATTAAGTGCATAGCAGCTGTACTATCATCGACGGGATGTGCATAATTTTCATAACACATTTTTATCAGATCAGCAACGTGCAAACCTTGGTTCAAAAATCTCAGTTCAAAACAACATGATGACAGCATGTGATATGTCTTGGTATGATAAGACTCGGAGATCAGCATCAGTACGCCACCAATTTCTCCAGAGACATGACACTATGTAGTACTAGTTACACTTAAATTCAACACCGTTTGAGAATGTTTCAAGCGCAAAACAAATTTCATACTTGACAACAGGCGACATATAAGCATACTGCATGTAAAACTATGTATCTATATGGTCCATAATTGTAACAAGGACAGGCATATCACAGCTATAAGACGAGTATGAAATGAAGTGGTCAATCAAGAACTATTGTGGGTTGCCGGCTCTGCGGGATTTTCACATCTGATGTCCCTATACAATATTATAGCAACGACAATATCGCAAAAGATTACATTGCACCTCAGTGCACTTGTCGATCCCATTTGCCATCATAATCTTGGCTCCAAGTGACAATCGATGCATGATCAAGTGATGGTTGAACTGTCTGCGTACGCGTCATAGTGACCCGCGCAAAAGTGTCCGAATGCACATTGGTGTGGTTCTCGGTCGACTGTATCGCTTTTATTGTCTCATTTTCAGTTACAAATATGATACACTACATTGCATGACTCGGACGTATACAGGAATGAGCCGTGCTTGTAAAAATAGTAAGTAGAGAACAAATACTCCGACCACTATGCATCAAAAAATATGTTTGAGAAATACTTCTTCACGCCTTCTGTACCATGAACTATCGCCCCAATCACTCCGTCCGGCCGTATCACAAACACCTTTGTCTGGCCAGCTTCCACGAGGTAAGCCGAATATGCATAGCCCTCCCGATCAACAAGAATGAGGTCAGGGGATGCGGCAGGTGTCACTGATGCCGATGATGGCAGAACGACTGCCGATCGTACGACGCATTTGTCGTATGCCTCCAGTGCACCCAAGATCGGGGTAGCATCAGCGAGACTCGGCGAAAATACAAGCATTGTGTGGTACCAAGGTCTGTACAGACCGAAAAGCGTGGTCGTGTCGAGCTCTGCGCCCCTCACCTGCAACATATTGGGCGCATCAGGTGCCCTATCCCCAGCTTCCAGATGCCCCTCATCAAGCACACCATATGCATTGATAGGCTTCCTCTCAACAAATTCATCGAGTACGATGGTGCTGAATCGGCAGTTGATGCCGAGCATGTAAAGGATGGGATTTCGTCCGGCCGACAGGTCCCCAGACGCTGTTGCCTTGTCGAGAATCGAGGTGGTCATCTTGAGCATCTCGGAGATCACAGGCAGACGCTCGGCGCTGTATGTCTCGAGAAGAGATTTGTCGGCGAGCCCTTTCTGGACGAGCGCAAGCTTCCATCCTAGATTGAACTAGTGTAGGACGCGGTCAGTCATAACACACATGCTGCATCTACCCGACTTACTGCATCTTGTACACCTGAATTGAGTCCCTGTCCATAGACAAATCAGCAAGTATTAGCAACAATCGGATCAATCATACCTGACCGCCTGTTGGGCTGTGGACACTTGGATGTGTTAGCAGCAGTTTACGAAGAAGGCACTCAAAGATAGACATACTGAGCAGCATCTACGACGGCATGTATGAGTACAGCCACAACATCTCAAACAGAATTACATACCACCCGCAACAAACACTCGACCCTC